AGAAAAAAAAAGACGCAGAATCAATACGCAGCAGTGGCGCAACTGACAAACAAGTCAGATAAATAAACCAACGTTAAAGAATTTTTTGTATATCGCAATCACGTTTAGAGCTAATATGTTTCCAAAAATCAATTCGAAATAAAATAAAATATCTTATATTAAATTTTATTCTTCTTGCTATCGACATTTTGTTATTATGCTCTAACTCTTTATATATATTCCATATGTTTTTTAGTAGATGTTTTGCAAAAAAGCCATAGTTTTTTGAGTTTGTATTTTTATTTTCAAGAAAAAAAGAAAAAAAGAGAATATATTTTTATTTTTATTTTCGAGAAGAAGAGAAAAAAAAGGAACACATTGTTAAGACAATATACAGTTATAAAACAAATATAGCAATAGTTTTTTCAGTTAGTATTTTTATTTTCGATGATTATTTTCGAGTCATGATTATTTTCGACGATTACCTGCGTACAAATTTATATTTCTTAGTACTTTATTTCTTAATCGTAATCTTAACGTAAATGTAAAGTTTTTAACCACTGAACAGTTATGCCGAAGGCTAAAAGACTTCAAAAGAAAAAAAATAAGGAATTATTAAAAGCAGCAGCACCACCTTATCAGATTAAAATTACAACTTAGTTAAAAAAATAACAACTCTACCGGTGGAGCCAGAGAACCCTCACGATGAACTACAGAATCAGGATAAAGTTGACATAGGCAGTCCAAAAATAGACAATACAGAAAAACCGATGCAAAAGATGGTAAAATTCTAACGGAAAATCTCGTTAGAAAAGTGTAGGATTTCAGTGAAATTAATAAAAAAAAAACAGTGACAAAAATGGAAAAACCTGTATTAGGACTTGGTTTAATGAGTTTAGTTGGTTATTTTATAATCGATTACTGGAAGATGTCTTTTGTGAAACCTGTGCAAAATATGATTCATATTCTGTTGGAGTGTTCAAGCATGGAGTCGGTAAAGGATTTAGAACATAGAGCAAATTTGCAGCAGCACTAAAAGATCACGAGGACTCCAGTGTTCATAAGGCTGCAAGTGCTCTAAAGATTGAAAAAAAAATAAAAAGTTTACAACAATTAATGCACAAATTGATCAAATGTACATCAAAAAGCAAGCAGTTAGAAGAAAAGGCTTTCTAATTTATTTCGGAACATTGAAAACATTGTTTCGACAGGATGTAGCTATAAGAGGTGATAATGATGAAGAATCCAACAGTTTAATTTGGATAAGAGTAAAAGTCACATTAGAGATGTTGATGAATGAAAACTATTATGTTTTAATCTGACATCTTGCAAGAACAAGAACAACTTCTCACCTTAGAAGCACGAAGGCAGATTGTTGAACTAATCAAAGTTAAACTTTTCTATTCATTACTTGCAGATGAATCTTCAGATATTACTAAGAAGGATGTTTAATATAAGAACTTGCAGTGACAACTATGAAGTGAATAAAGATTTTATTGGAGTATATGAATGCGTCAACGGTCTTTCTTCAGATGCCTTGGTAACATATATTGAAAATATTCTTTTGAGGTGCAACTTGGAATATACAAAAGTTGCTGGAGTTAGCTTTGATGGAGCATCATTTATGAAATGCTTGGCAGCAAAACTGAAAAATATTTTCGGACAGCAGGCACAATATTTTCATTGCATGGTACATTGCAGCGAGTTGATAAAGCGTTAAAAATACATATGCAATACCATTACAACTGTCAGATTCTCTCAGCATTGTCCAGTCAATTATTGTTGGGGCATATCCAAAGCGTGTTGCCTTTTTCAAACAAATCCAAAAGGAAATATTGCATGCGGCTGAAGTCTATCTCAATGACTCGATAAACAACACTAACAAAAGTAGTACAAGTGGTGTTGGAGAAGACTGCAGAACTGTGTACAATGTTTAACAGTCTTCAGAGTGACAGGACAATTGCTGCAAAAACATGAGCACAAGTTAAAGGTTTATTATCTCAGCTTTCATCAGTAAAAATACTTTTTGAACTGCAAAGCAATTTTGAATTTTTTGCTATTCTAAAAAATCTATTAAAACAGTTACAAGAAACTAATCTGACATGTGATGTCGCAGTATTCTGCATTCGAAATGCGTCTCAGAAATTCACAGAACTTAGATCCAATAAGGAGTTTAAAATAATTTTAAAGACGACAAAAAAAATACCTGGAATCAAGCAAGACAATGAGTCTGAAACGAAGTTACGAAGAGACAAAGAGTTATACCTAAAATATTACGCGATTCAGTAATTACTGAGAAGCTTACATTAGACGGTGCAATGACTGGCTCTGTCAAATTAGAGCAAAAACAAAGGAAATCTTATTTTGAAGCATTTTATGCTATTCAGAACAGTTTGAGTGAGAGATTTGAACAGGATGGATTAACAGCTGTAAAAAATATAGAAGAAGTTTTGATTTCATCAGTGAATAAACAAGATTCCCCACTTTTTTTATTTGGAATGCTATTTTTTAAAGATGTTGACATCTTGGAACTAAAAGCTGAGTTGAAGGGGCTACCAACAAATATTAACCTGTACAATGCTATTGCATCAATCAAAATACAGAGTGTTTCCAGAGTGGCAACAATTGCAGATATTTTCAATGCCATGCCAGCTGCAAAAGTTGCCAATAAACAAACACAAAAATTAATGAAGCTTTACTACACTATGCCTCTATCGACATCATCATGTGAAGCTTTAGTTTAATGCCCAGAAGCTTTAGTGTAATGAGGAGAGTAAAAACATGGGTTAGGTAACCAACTGGAGGCAATCACCTGAACAACATCATGTTTGCTCAGATACACAAAAAACAAATCGACAAAATTAACATTAAAAAAATTGCTAAACAGTTTGTTGAAATGAATTACATTAGAATGAATTATTTCGGCAAATACACTTGAAATTGTTCTAGCACCTTGTAAAGCTAAGAATGGCATAGGATGAATTATTGATATCTAGAAAGTAGCTATGAAACAGTTGATTTATTTAGTAGGCTTTTTAATAGCATGTTATAACATTTAGTGTTAATTGCACTGTTAATTGCACAATCCATACACGTTAGATTAACGTTGCGTTATAAACATTGGATCAACGTTAATCAATATACGTTGTTGATCAATGTGGGATCATACACATTTAGTCAACGTTGATCCATATACATTGGATCAAGGTTGATCTCTATACATCGGATCAACGGTGGATTTTGATCGGAAAAATAACCAACTTTTGCGGTATTTTTATACCAATGGACCAATATAGTTTTGATATCTATTTTTAATCACATCGTTATTGAGGTTTTCATTAATATTAATACGATAAAACTAACATTTGATCAACGTTGTCTTTGCATCGAAGAAAATAGCCAACTTATGCGATGTATTTACATACGTTGGCCCAACGTAAGTGTGCTAGCTAGAAGATTATACTAATTTGGGGTGATATACATTTAATCAACGTTGGTCCATATACATTGGATCAAGGTTGGGTTTAGATCGGAAAAACATGCGATGTTTTTACATGCGTTGGACCAATGTTTTCCTAACTATTTTTAATTGCATCGTTATAAAGGTTTTAATTAATATAAATAAGACAAAACTAACATTGGATCAACGTTTTATTTGCATTGGAGAAAACAGCCAACGTTCTTGAAGTATTTACATACTTCAACCCAACGTAAGATTGCAAGCTGGGTAATTACATAAAGCTTTAATTGTTTAACAAATCAAAAAACATTTGCAGACTCTTTAATTAAATCAAAAATTGAAATTCTTTGAACTCAATGAAATTTAAGTAATTTTAGTTCTCCTATTTTCATTTTTTAAATAAGTTTGAAATCATGGATGATAAGATACTGAGAAATCATGGATGATAAGATACTGAGAAATCATGGATGATAAGATACTGAGAAATCATGGATGATAAGATACTGAGAAATCATGGATGATAAGATACTGAGAAATCATGGATGATAAGATACTGAGAAATCATGGATGATAAGATACTGAGAAATCATGGATGATAAGATACTGAGAAATCATGGATGATAAGATACTGAGAAATCATGGATGATAAGATACTGAGAAATCATGGATGATAAGATACTGAGAAATCATGGATGATAAGATACTGAGAAATCATGGATGATAAGATACTGAGAAATCATGGATGATAAGATACTGAGAAATCATGGATGATAAGATACTGAGAAATCATGGATGATAAGATACTGAGAAATCATGGATGATAAGATACTGAGAAATCATGGATGATAAGATACTGAGAAATCATGGATGATAAGATACTGAGAAATCATGGATAATAAGATACTGAGAAATCATGGATGATAAGATACTGAGAAATCATGGATGATAAGATACTGAGAAATCATGGATGATAAGATACTGAGAAATCATGGATGATAAGATACTGAGAAATCATGGATGATAAGATACTGAGGCTAAAGTTATTTTAGTTTTTCTACTTGCTCTTATTTTGTACAACTAACAGAATATTTGGAAAAAAGTGGAGCATAAATTTGGATTATAAATGATACTTGAAAAAACAAACAGCATAAAGTATTGCAGCACTGGATTTTGGCGAGGGAGAGCCAGAAAATTGTTATTATTGTAATATTAATTGTTTTTAAATTTTATACTTTATATGAAAAAATTGAACAAAAAAAAAGGGGGGTGGGGATGACTGTTTTCTATAACACAACGCTTCCCAATAACACCCACCCCGCCCCATTTGGGAAGATCCCTGAGGATATAAGCATAAACCATTGATAACCTAAAATTTTCTTGGTTTTTTCATTAATCAACTTTGATTTATTTATAACCATAAAAGACAATTTAAAAGCTGTCAAGTTTTGAAATGTAAGTTATAGAACTGCGCTCTAAAATTTATCCATTAAGTAAATCCATTTAAAAATATATATAGCTCGTTATTAAATAACTTTTAATAAACAAAGTAAAATAAGTTTGGATATAACAAAGAGACCATAATTTAAGCTATTTTGAAAAACTAACATAGTTTTCAACTTTTTTTGAAACGAAAAAAACTTTCATTGAAGACTTTCTTACTTTACTTTCTCGAAATTGTTGTAACTGGAGACTGAGAGAGTTATGCGATAGCTCATAAATACTTTGCTTAATAAAACATTTTTGTCTAGATAGCTTCAGTAATGTGTCGTGACAAAAAAATTTTAAGAAAAGTTGCGTGATTTCTTTGCGATAGATGTTGTGCATTTGTGAGTAAATAAATACATTTGCGCAGCTGTTTGCTGTGTGAAGAAGTTTTAACCATGCATTCAACTCAAGCAGCATCGGCGACCGATAAATACCTTCTTTTTTAACAATCCAAGACAACGTATGAATTAAAACAAGAACCTCTTTAGGAAAAACAAGAAAAAAGAAAACTAAATTCATTAACAGCAAAACATACAAAGTTTTTTTAGACTTCTTATGAAATCTTTGTCGTTGCTCACTTGAAAACGACTTTTCTCGACACCTTTTAAGAGTTAGCATGATTTGTACAGTTGTAAAGCTAAAAATTAAAACACAAAACACAAAACGAAAAAAAATCGTTAAACAGGTGGGTATTGCATAAGAATAGTTTTTAACATTGGATACTTGACAAGTAATGTAATCATTGTTTGGAATTACCTCTAACGATAAAATATAATTTAAATGCATGCATATTGACAAAACTATACCCCCTGTAAAGGCTGTTGTTATAGTTTTCCAAGATAAAGTAGAACCCATTAAGGGAGATATTATTGCTAGGTACCGATCAATTGCAAAAATTAACAGCACTACAATTGATATTGAAGACATTATTGAACCTAAGGCAGGTAGAATCTTGCAACTATGTATGCCAAAGTGCCAAACTTGATATCGAGTAAATGTATAATACATATACAATGGTGGATTTAAACAAGATGATAAAAAGTCAGCAAAGCCTAAATATAGAATTAGCCAATCAGCCGTTACCCGAGGTTTTGACTTTCTTTTGTAACCAAATACGTATATAACAAATGCGTTTCCAACAACACCTGTTAAAAATATCAACCCAAAAGCAACAACTAAAATCCATTCTGATGGCTTCAGTGGAGTAGTTAATGCATTCTCTGAGATTTTCATTTTATTGGTGTACTTCTGATTTTCAATTATTATATTTTTAGCTGTCGTACAGATAAAAATAATTGTACAAATAAAAGTAAAGGTAAAATTTTATGCTTTAAAAAGCTTTGAAAATTATTATGTTAATAGTATTTTACAAATATATAATTTTGTGTCATTGTAAGGTAACTAGTTTATTAAAATGACATCTGTGTAATATAGCTTTTTTTAAATAGACTTTATTTCATTAAACTAAACCATTTTTATATAATTAAACATTATAGTGTTGCATGTACATGCACATGCTTTTCTACTATTAAAAAAATTAAACATTTAATAGAATTCAGTTGTTAAAAAAAGCCAATAAAACGTGGCGCTGAAAGGTGGAGTTTGAATAAACAAAAACTATGGAAAGACGCCCAAAACATATATCCATGAGATATGTTTTAATGACTACTTCCCTATTTGGAATGTCAAAACATTGCTATCAATATAAACAGATTAAAACAAGATGAACCAGATGGTCATTAATGGTTTACTCATGTTTTGCAACATTTTTCTTTGTATGTATTTTAACTAAACAGTTAATAATAAATCCATTATACATTTTGTTTATAAATATTAATTTGCAATAAATAAAATATTTGAAAAAAATATTTAGCTATTGAAATTTTGGTTATATTGTATAATATATGTTTTAAATGTGAGTAATGAAGTTAAATAAATAATTAGATAAAGAAAAAAAGAACAGCCATAAGGAATTTTAGTAGCAAAGTAAAGATTCTATATATACTTGACTAATTATCTAGGGAATTTAAAAGTTTTTTTTGGTCTTCACTGTTCACATTATTGCTCGCATTAATTAGAAATGCTTTGAAAAGCAATGATTGGTTCCTGAAAACAAAAACTTCTAAATATTTTATTTTCTAAATTTGAAGAACAAAAGTTAATAAAAAAATTTTATTATTTTTTCAAGGTAAATAAAAAGTAAATTTTGATTAAATCTAGTACTTATCATGAAAGCGTAGTAAGTAAAGATAAATGGTTTTTGAGAGCTTATGGCTAAGTTTTAAACTCAACGCCTAGACGTTGCATATATATGTATAGTACTAAAATACCATGAACATTAAAAACTTCATGTTATATGTTAAAAAAAACTTTTATACGTTAAATGCATTTAAAAATGAGAATTTATTTCTATAAATACTCATTTTGATAATTTATTATAAGTATATATATGGTATATATAGATGTGATACGTGTAAATTCTTCTCAAAATATGTATAGGTGTGATAAATGTGAACTCATCTCAAAGTGTGATACATCTCTTCCAAGCATTAAACTTTACTGGAAGTCTGTTGCTGTTGTAAATTTAAATTTTATTAAAAATGACATTTTTTAGAGCACTTAGATAAGGTTATGAATCTCTACGTGCTTAAGGATCATTATAAACATGTTACCTCCTATGACGTCAAAAAACTTAAAATGTTCAAATAACTTCTACGACGTCAAAAAATTAAATAACTGACTAGCAGAGCAACGTTTCAGACCGTTTCAAAAAATTATTAAATTAAAGTACACCGACTTTTTCACTGAAGTGCCAAAATATATAAAAATGATTTATGTTCAAATAAACGCGTAGAAATGAGACAAAATTATTCGTACACTACACTGCGATTAGGGCTATGCCAGTTGCGTATGGATTGATGCACTTATTCTATAAAACTTAGAAAAAGAGAAAAGTAAAACTTAAATTAAATAACAGTTATAGGTAAAACGGTAATGACGGTAAAACATTCTACCCTAATCAAAACATTTACGGTAGAAATGTTTTGATTAGGGTAGAATGTTTTAATTACGGTAAAAATGTTTAATTACAAAAACTTATATAATACATTTTAATTATTATATATAATATATTTTAATTATATATTAACTTATATATAATAAATTTTAATTTTAAAAGCTTTATTTTTGTCCATAATTACCAATACGCAGATTTAATTACGGGTGTATATAAAATAGAGAGAAACATACACTTTTTTTTTTTTTTTTTTTCTATTAATTTTTTGGCACTTTCTTCGTTTTGAATACCTGCAGCAATTTTCATTTTCTTCAGCTACATTAGTAACATTAACTCGTATCGAAATAACAACACTTATTTATAAATTGATACACGTAAAAAACAAGTTTTTTTTCAAATCAGAATTAAATTTGGCACAAAATAGTATAAAATGTTATTTATCTATTTCTATAGATAAAATAATTTTTTATTCTCTTTTTCGTTAATTTTATAATTTTTTGATTTCAAATGGGAATTTAATTTGATTGTAATAACATACTAAATTTTTGATTACGTAGTTTACTAGGTTTGTACTAATTTTTATTTTTCCAAATAAAAAAAAAAATAAAAAATATTTAAAAAAATAAATTCCAAATAATAAATAATTTACAACGTAAATTTTATTAAAAATTACCAAATTAGAATTGAATTTCTTCGGTACGGAATACCATACCGTAGCCGACATCAAAATGAATTATAATTGATTATAAAAAAAATTATATTAATTCTTAAATTTACAATATATAATGATTTAAAACAAGAGTTAAATGTTATTGTGAAAAAATGAAAGTTTTAGCGTGATGTAAGGGCGACAAAATATCAAACTTAGATCAAAAACTGACAATTTAATTATTTATTTTAAACTTTTTTTTATAAACTGATTTTCCTGATTTCTTAATCATAAACTGATTTAAAATCTGATTTTCGGTCGATTGTTTCGCCTGAGGCATGGAATAAAAATTTCTAATTTTAAATTTTTGTTCAGAATATGAAACCGGACGACAGAATAACCCGACGGGCATTTGTTTTTAAAAGTTACGATCTAAATGTATTTTAAATGTCTTTTAAACGTCTTTTAAACATTAATGTTTAAAAGACGTTTAAAACACATTTAGAACGTAACTTTGAAAAACAAATGCCCGTCGGGAAGCGCGAGTTTCATAATTGCGAATTTTGTACGTGCGAACTTGCACAAGTGCAAACTGGCATAAGTGCGCCGAAAAAATTTACATACATTGGCATAAGTGCAAAATGGCATAAGTGCGAACTAGCGAGTTTGCATAAGTGCAAAATGCCGATTTGCACTTATGCCAATTTTTGTATTGCATAAGTGCAATGCAAACATGTTTGCAGTGCGCCAATCTTTTGGCGCACTTCTGCCAATGCGCACAGATGCCATTTCGCACTTATGCCACTTTTTGCAACTACTAGTTTGTTTAATAGTTTTAGAAAAAAATCACTTTGATAAAAATATAATTTTTTGTAAATAGTCAAAAGATTGGTAATAAATCATAAAAAACGCAACTTTGATGTTAAAATTTTAATATTTGCATCTAATTAGTATTTAAATTGCTCGTTAACTATAAAACAAACGTGGCAATGTTTTTTATTTCTTTCAGCGGCACAAGGCAAAAGTTCCGCCTCCAATTTAGCGGCCGCAATTGGTTAGGAGGCAAAAGCTATCGAAGGCGGCCTCCAAATCATTTTTCTTTAAAAATTTCTTCTGAAGGTGGTCACCAATGGTTTCTACCTCACTCTTGGCGTCGACCTAAAAAATGTTTTTTTTTCAAAAAAATCTTAGGCTGCGGATGCCAATTGGGAGGTAGAAGTCAGAAAATTGAATCGCTGTGGCAGAAAAGTGGAGGTAAAAAGATTTGCACCGTTTATCAATTCTACATTATTTAAAACTATTTATTTTAGTTTCGATTTGATATTATTTTTAGTTGCTAGCGTTTTTTTTTTTAATTACTATTAATTACTGTATTCCGTACTTGAGGGCCTCTGGTGATGATAGAAAATTTGAAGGCTTCAAAGTGAGTCTTACCTTCAATATAACTACCATTTTAATATCTAGTAAGATATTTTTTTAGATTATAGTTAAAATTTTTATAGGTTATAGTGAAAGCGTATAATACGCATCACGACCGTCCCAAAGAGGTTTTAATGGGGGATGATTTTTTTTTTGCTGACTTAGGTCTATAAAAAAATGGTTCTCTTTGGCTGACATTTGCCAAATAAAATTCCTAACTTAGAATAAAATGGGTTTAAACAGCCCCCCCCTCCCCCAAGAAACGGTGCTGATACGCATACTCGAAGAGGTTAAATTAATTTGGTACGTGTTTAAAGTAATTAATTTTGCCTCTGCCTAAAAAATTTCAACTCCAAAAAGTTATTTGTTTTGAAATATATTATTTTTAATAACATATTTCAAAACAAATAACTTTTTATTTTGAAATTATTGGGAGTTTTTTGTTTTGCTTATTTCTTCTAAATTTTAATTTAATCCAATATATATATATTCTAAAACCTAATGCAATATTTCACCGATTTTCTCAATTTTTCTAACACGACTACTTCATGCTTTTTACTCGTATTACTTTAGTTTTTCAAGAATTCTTCTTACTTTTTGTCCGTGGATTTAAATAATGACGCTCTGTAGAGAGCTGAATCTGCGTTTGGCGGATTTAGGTATATGGACTCCAATCGGCAATTAGCCGGACGAGAAGTTTTATACATTATTTGACTGGATCATAAGCATAATAATCAGAAGTGTTTTAAAAAAAATAGTATTCAAAGGTCTGAAAAATTCACTTTAATAAACTACGGTTGTGTGTGATATTTTAATGTTGTTAACAAATCGCTTTTTTGTATAACTAAATTTTGTAGTCTAACTTTAGTTGAGTTTAATTTTATTTAAGTTAAGATGTCACTTATGAAAAAAAAATTTTTTATAATAAGTTATAATAGTTATTAATTATTGTATATGTTTGACAAGTTGACTTGCTTCAAACTTATAAAGTATTTAAACAGTACATTCATCCATTTAACCCTTCAGGATGATCAAGTAAAGGCTTGTTTCTAGTATTTATGAAACATTTTGTTAAGTATACAATTTATTTTAAACCGCATAAAAATAATAGTATTATTAACAACTTTATGATTAATAAAAAATATTTCTGGAATATCTAAAATAAATAAATATATCTAAATATCTTAATCAAACCTAATCTAAAATATCTATATCTAAAAGCAAACGATCTAAAATATCTAAAAATAATATAAGAATATCTAAAAGCATAATAATAATAATAATATGAATATCTAAAAGCAAACGATCCGCATACACATTCTCAATAAAATTTGTTTAAACTTAAAATATTCTTCTTTTTTTTATGGATTATATGGAAATGCGAAACAGGTGTAGTTTAAAATAATTATCCCCATAGACTATGGAACATTGATTATTTACAGTTACTCCTATTTCCCGTGATATTAATGGAAAAACAGTTTTTTAAATAATATGAAAATAATAATAAGAAAAAAAAAGTTAAGAATCCCTAAAAAAATTATGTTGTCTTGCGGCAAAAGCGATATTTTGGTTTTTCGCGAAAAGCTTATCGATTGCTTTTATTGACAAAGTTTAAAACGACACGTTTTGATGTTTCCAATTCGTACTTATTTTGATTTCGATATATTAAAAAAGAATTTGTAAATGTTGTATGTATTCTTAATATTTATGTTTGCATTTTGTGTATGTATTGTATAATGTTGTAAGGATGCGTTGTACTTTTTAAATTATAATAAAGTAGAATTAATATAGTTGTATATAAAAGTAAGATTTTGTTGCTGTGTGTTTACTTTATCACAAAGTTTATGTGAAACTAACAAAATAAGGTTTTATTTTTTAGTATCACTTATTTTTTTTATAAGTTGTTGCTGGAGATTTTTATACAAATTAATTTCTATTTAATAGTGGTCACATATATTCATATAAAATATATTAAAATATGTGTTCCAAAAATGTTTCTATTGACATTTCATGTGACGTAAGGGATTTCTCCCTTAAAATCTGACTTAACTTTAATAAGGTAAATATTTTTATCTGTTTTAAGGAAAGAAGCACTTGAATTTCAATTTAAAATAAGTTTGTCAAATGTTTTTTTTTTTACTTTTGTTCTTGTGAAAAAATATGTGAAAAAAAGAATGAATAATTATTTATCAATTATTAAATATTGTTTAAAATTATTTACTAAAAATGATAGATAATTTAAAATTTTTTATTAAAAATAATATATAATTTTTTAAATTGTTTCTGCAATATTAACTCATTGAAAATGAATTACTATATCATCAAAGTTTATTATAAAAATAGTCAGAATTTAAGACTAAGTATTTTCTCAAAAAAGGTCCCATCATTCATAGTAATTTAACTAGTCTATCAAAATTTTAATAATAGTTAAGATGCCAATTTTAACAACTTTTAAAAATGTTTACTCTTAGTGGCGTAGGAAGGTTTTTGAGTGTTTGAAATAACCAACTTTTAAACAAACAAAAAATTCCAAATTTTTTTACGTTCATATGAATGACGAAAAGATTCTTTACAAAAAAAAAATACTGTGATAGGAGAATGGGAATAAAAAACCCTAAAATCTTAGCCTCCCCCCCCCCCTACTCTATATGTGACGGCAATGAGTTGAATTATTTATTTTTACATAAATATAAACTAGTTATGTATTCATTGACAGATTTCAAATTTCATGTTTAAATTATTCAGTGTTCAGTCTTTATGACCATGTGAAGAATAACCCCTTCTCATCATACATATAAACGTTAAAAAAATTTGGAATATTCTTTTTGATTAAAAGTTAGTTATTTCCAACATTTAAAAACCTTCCTATGCCACTGTTTACTCTCACTGCTAATTGTGTTTTTTATAATAAAATGACTATTGATTTCAAAATTATATTCTAATAGGGTTTTAGGGGTTGCTTAAGACTTTTGAACATTAGGTGGGTCCCTAATATTATATAACAGTATTTCTTTAAAAGTATGTCAACCAACTGAAATTAATGAAAGTATTAAAAGAAGTGAACTTGTATAAAAATTTTAAAAATAATAATCATTTTATAAAAACATCTTGTTTCATTATGTAGAGTGCAAGAGTAAACATTTTTTTAAAAAGGAATTCTAATTAACACCCGACTGTAAGTTGTAAAATGGTGAACCTTATTAAAGTTTATAATCAATGAATTTTATTAGTTTCATTGGTCAATATATTTAAACTTTATAGAAATGATATAAATTTAAAGGCACATTACTTTGAAATCAGTAAATTCTAAAGGCAGTGTTTACAGGTAATATTTTTCAGTCAGTGATTGACTTTTAGCTGGTAAAAAATTGTTAATAAACCTTGACAAGAACTTTAGACTTGACTAGAATTTTTTTTAGACTTGACTGCTTGATTAAATAAACTGTAAAATATAAATTGTATTTTTATTTTTATTATGTTTAGTTGCAAATATTTCTTAAAAATGTGTAAAACTGTCTGAATGAAAAATGGGCGCAGCAGATAGTAAGTTGAACTTTCGACAGGCAGTTGTACAACTTACTTCCAAGAAAACAGTGAGTTTGTTTTTAGAGCATACCTGCTAAGATTATGAAGTAGCTGCACTTCTGGCTGCAATTTACAACCTAAAATATAGAAATGAAAAGCTTCTATCTTGGTAATTTTTGCTAAAATAGGAGCTTTGACAACTAAAAATAAAAAAGTAGTTTTGAGAAATGTTTAGTTATAAAAATATAATTAAATAGTATTATTTAATAAAATAATCTAGGTAACAGAAATAGATTGCAGTAATATGTAAGTTAAGTTAGTTTGCTGTTATCTACAAACAATTACATTGCAGAAACAAAGCATGTTAGCAGGAATGTTAAATATTCTGAATATATTTTTTTTATTATGTTTCCAACAATTAAAAAAACTGTTTTATATGCAAATTCATTGTTATCAGTGAATTAATTTATGTTATTATTTTTATTACACTACTTTATGTAGCCAATAGAAGTGAGCGATGAGGCATTCTGGGAACAGTTTTGGATGGATTCTATAACTAATGTAAATGATGTTTTTGCTCTTATACCAGCTGCAGAAATACGCACTTTAAGAGAAGAATGCCCTTCAAATCTTGCTACTTTATGTTACAAGGTATTAATAATTTAAAAAAAATTATTTTTGGTAAATCTCATAGTTTTAAATCTATTATTATTTTAAGTTAAATTTTAAACAATCTAAAACAAAATATGAAATTATGTTAATAGTTTCATATATATTGTTTTATAAATGGTTTTGGTTGTTTCCTCAGAAACATTTTAAAGTTTATAGGCCAGGTGAATAAAAATGAGCAATTGCTTTTACTCAGTATTCGGTCAGCTTTACGTGAGTAAAAATTTTAGAAGTTTTGCTCAAACTTTTATTCACGTTAAAATAAGCAATTTACTTAGTAGTTGTTCAGCTTTACGCGAATAAAAACTTAACCAAAATTCCTAAAGTTTTTATTCACGTAAAGCTGACCAATTACTGAAAAGAAGCAATTACTCATTTTTATTCACCCGGCCTTATGTCTGGCATCTAATGTATTTAATTACTTAGTACTTAATAAGTATTATTAAAGACCACTTTCATTTATCCAAATGTTCCTTATTCAATTTCTTTAATTGAAGTAACCAAAGTGTGAAATATTACTCACTAAATAATAATTTAATAGGTTTCTTTAGTGTTGAACGCAAATGCATAGGTTGATGTTTCTGTGGAATCGCCCTTTTATATATAGTGTCCCAGAAATTTCCTGAGAAAAAATCATTTCTTGAATAAATATATAAGCACAAGTGTGGCAACCCCAATTAAATTTTAAAACAAAATGACATTTGTTATTTTATTAACAAGTTAGTATGTATATACAAAATTTGTATTTGAATGTGTATACAAAGTTTGTATATACATATATTAAGAAAAACTAATTTTTCTTTTCAAGTAAACATTTTTTGAACTTATTTAGTTAGTAAATTTTAAAACTTAGAAGTAAACTTTTATTAATATTTGTAAATGTTAAACAATTATTCTCTTCAGAGGATTTACTTTCAATTCCAATATCGACATCTTCACTGAATAATTTATTAGATAATTCATTTGCACAACAAATAATTGCAGCTTTTGATGATGAAGATAGCTCAGCAGTTGCAATTGAATACAAATCTAGTGTTTAGAGATTTTTAATTAAAGATCTTGTGATTTTGATTTCTTTGCTCAACACAAAGAGACAGAGCTAGCAACATCTCCTTTATAATTGCATTGTTATCATCATACAGGGAATCTAATAAAAATTTTAAAATTGCATTAGCAGTTAGCAAATTTGCATCATGTTAACCAATTGCCTCTACAACTACTTAGATAAAATGTATTTAAATGATTTTTCAAAACTAAAACTTAAATATCGTTGAACAGCTTTAGGGAATTCAAGTCCTTAAATACTTTTTTTAATTATTATATTGCTTATAAAAATCTTTCAACCATTGTCACAATGCTGTTCCATCTCATTTAGCAATCCTAGCAGTAAACTAGGTTTAATTCTGTGCTTCACTTTTACATGTCTTGTAAAATGGAATTTCTTTTTAGGTAGAGTTTAAAAAACTTAACGCCAAAAAGAAATTTTTAAAGTAGTATTTATATTACTCTTTCTCATATTTAGGGTTCGAAATCGTTTTGATTATCACTTTCAGTTTTAGATTATTTTACTGCCACAGGAAGTTCAACACGACAGCTGAAAAATTGTTTAGTTATAACTTTAATTGTCTGAATTTAGAATGTTAAATCACAGTGAAAGATATAATTTTGCTAAAAAATAAGGGATCCATTTAATATTTTCTTAGCAAACTTTATTTTTGCTTATGTGTGTTTTTAATACTTCTAAATTTAAAATTGTTCAAATTATTTAATACTTATAAATGGCCTATGTGTAAGGGAACAATATATAAAGTTTCTATCATGCTAAGTACTTAATTTGTTAAAACAATAATACCTCCAAGGTACACTACTCCTACTTCCAAGTTACACCACTGGTGGTGTACTTTAACTATAGTTTGATTTAATTTTTTTTATTCAAAAAAGAGTTTAAAAAGTTTAATGTTTAGATGTTAAATTAAAAAAATATATAGAACATCTACTATTATTAAGTTAAAGATAAAATATTGTTGCATAATTTATTGTTACTTTTAAATGTATTCTACAAAATAAAGTGCTCAATGTTCTTAAAAGAACTGAGCAATAATAAATAAATCAGTAGAAAATCACTTATCAATTTTTTTTTTTCATTTTATGCTTCGTTTCATCTATAAAGAAATGAATAATCAAATTATTAAAACTTCAATTAAACCAAAAATTAAATTACAGTAAGTCATAAATGTCTTAACTACTGTAATATTTTACACATTTGTGGAATGTAATGACACTTATGTGTAAAGAACTCTTTAGTATTGTTTACTTTTTAAGGAGTAAATAGATTCTATCTGTTGTCCAGCTTTGCACCCCTTCTTCATTTAATAGACTGGCGTAGATGTATTTATAATACGTTGTTTCCAGTTTAGGATGTTGAATCAGACCTAGTTATGAGATTTTGTTGCATAACGGAAAACCATAACGCAAGTAAATATAACTTTACTCAATAAATATATTTATATTGTTAAAATTTAATTTGAAACCACATTAAAAATTGTTGTAAGTCTTTATCTTTATAAAATATCTTTTAATCAAACAATATTGTTATAAAAAAATTTTTTAAATAAAACTTAAATATGTTTAAAATAAAAAAATTTCCTAGTTTTAAAAATCTGATACTTATTTAAACTTCTTTTTTTTTTTCATTAAAACATTTGTCTTATAATTATTATTTTTGAAATAGAGGGGGGGGGGGCAATTGTTAAATTTCTTAAAGTGATTAACAATGAGACAATTTATGACAATTTATGACAAGTTATGACAAGTTATGACAAGCTGAGACAAGTTATGTTTATTTTGTAAATATGCATTAGAAAATAAAATTTGAGTTAAACAATTTACTTATTCAGATATTAACAAAATAGAAGAAGAACCAGAAAAAATTAAAGCATTATTTAATGTAATTAATTGTATGTTAATGTTAAAATTTTTTTTTTTTTTTTACTCTACCAATCTTTATTATTCCGTCCCATGAATAAATAGGCTAATACAAGTGTGGATCCATAATGAGGAGGAGGGCCATAAGGGTGTCTACCCCCTCCCCCTTAAGACTTTTTATTTATTAATAAAAAATCTATATATATGTATATATATATATATATATATATATATATATATATATATATATATATATATATATATATATATATATATATATATATATATATATATATATATATATATATATATATATATATATATATATATATATATATATATATATATATATATATATATATATAAAACACAGCACGATGTTAAAAAACTTATGTAAATTAGGCTGTTTAAAAGTGCCATAAAATTTAAATAAAATTTTGTGGCAAATTTTAAATTTTAATAAAAAGTTAATAGGATACAGGGTGCGACAAATTGAAAAACTTTTTCCACTTATTGGACAATTGTTTTTTTGTTTACAATTACAATTTTATGTCATTTTTTCATTTAGGATTTCTTTTTTGTTTAACAAAGTATTGTTTATTATAAATAATCCTTTTATAAGTCTTTCCTCATTTTTTGTGCAACTGTAACTAACTTTAATTGTATTTCGATTTAAAATTTTATGTAATTTATTAGAGGGTAGAAAGTGTTTATCCACCAATTTTAAAAACACATTTCCTTTAATAGTGGAAACATTTTTGCTATATGGAAGGGGGAAAAGGATGGAATTGAATTATACTTTCAGTTCTATTTCGCTTGTTATGTTAGTTCCTTTTCAAAATCTATTCAACACCTACGATTACTATACTTATTAACTTCAATATTTTTTACATAAAAGTTTCTTTAATATAGATAACAGTTGCATAACTTTTCTTCCAGTGTTTTTGAAAACCTTTAATTAAAGGCTTTAATAAAATATAACTTTTTCGTAAGGATTATTTTTTTTTTAAAACAAAAGAGGACACAGAAACAAGTCATGAAACCTAATTGTGTCAAATATGTTAGCTCTCTCTGTTTGGTATATTTTATAGGAACTTTTTTGTAACAAACTCTTTCAATTAAGCTGTTTTTAATACTGGCTTTGACAATAATTTTAAATTATTGTCCCCATTGTGTGGCGAAAATTGATTCTAAAAAAGTATGTAATGGAAACCATCAGGATCATAATCGCCAAGGTGATAAAAGTATAAATGGTTTCAAAACATGCATACAAATACAACAGATATATATATATATATATATATATATATATATATATATATATATATATATATATATATATATATATATATAATATTTATATATATATATATATATATATATATTTATATATACATATATATATATATTTATATATACATATATATATATATATATATATATATATATATATATATATATATATATATATATATATATAAATTACAGTGAACGGCAGAACTTAATTGATTTAAAATTTTTGGTTATCAATTTACAATACTAATTTCAATATTTTTTACATAACAAAAAAATCTTTAACATAGATGCGTAGCATTTCTTTTTTTTGGAAACTTAAGGTTATATTAAAATTTCTTATAAATTAATTTTTTTAAACCTTCTATGTTTAAAAAGCAAAAGGGGACACAAAAAATGGGATACAGTCTTAGTTATGTCAAATAAGTGTTTTTAAGTATATAAATAAGCCCTATCTGTTTGAAATTTTTTATGGAAACTTTTCTGTAAAGTACTTTTAAAAAAAAAAATGGCCAATATATCCAAATAAAATAATAATTCCAAAATAAAATAATAAGAGAAAAATATGCAAATATATGTGAGAAACAAAAAACATTTCTTGAGATTAAATAAAAATAAACTTTGAAAAAATATATATATTTATAAAAAAATATATTTAACTTAAAAAGTACTTATAAAAGCAATTTAAATAATAACGTTGTTTTACCATATAAGCTATATTTATATATTTAGTAAATGCTATGAAGATTAACGAAACTTCGTTT